AAGAGTTGTCAAGGAAGAAAATTTTTGCTGCAGAACTGGTTTGACCTGAACAGGGACAACCTATAATATTCCTTGTCTTAACATGTAGTTAATTATCTGTTTAACCCTAACAGTCTTTAGGGACGGAAAGAGTGGAAGTGGAACCAAATTCTAGTGATACAGCCTGGTTACCTGTTAAGAACCCTTCAACTATAAGGATAATTGCTCACTAAAACAAACCAGTCTTCAGATAATCGGTTAAAAGAATGACCAGTGTTTTGTCTTGAATAGTTTAGGTATTTCCTACATTGCAGGGGACTGGTCAGATGACAGTCATTGAGTTTTCTAGTGATAACACAGACAGGTAAATGGGCTATAATAAGTGCCAGTGACTTACTGTAGGTTTTACTCTCTTAGTGAAAGACTTTCCAAACTTGTGATGTTTGAGAGTGCATCTGAGTAAGATTGTCTTAAATAAGAACTCTTAAGTTTGTGTTTGGTTAAATTTTTTGTCACATTGAATCTATTATCACCATTTAGCTGAGTGGCCAGTTAAGTTTATTTATGTAGCAAGAGTTTTAAATTCTTCTATGGTAGAAGGATACTAGTAAGGAATTCTTTTTTTAGATAGCTAGTTCAATATCCTTACAGGATGTATTGACAACTGTTTGCTAAGTGACAGATAAGATTGTATAGGAGGGAAATATGTTAATAGGGAGCGTGTTTCATTTTAATATACTTTAATCTTACCTTATTTTCTTAACTACAGATAGAGCCATATAATTAATTTCTGTAGAAAAAAGACATTGCTGAATTGATAAATCTTTTTGATATCTTTGCTCTATGTGAGATAGTTATCCATCCCAATTTTTTTATATATACACACGTATATACACATATATATTTTGAGACCTGTCTTGCTCTATGGCCCAGGCTCATAGTTCATTGCAACCTCAAATTCCTGGACTCAAGTGATCCTCCTGTCTCAGATTCCCAAAGTGCTAGGATTATAAGTGTGAGCCACTGTACCTGGCCTTCTACCCCAGTATTATTTTGTAATTTATATTTTTGAGACAGCGTCTCACTGTGTTGCTTGGGCTAGAGTGCAGTGGTGTCATTGTAGCTTACTGCAACCTCAAATTCCTGGGCTGAAGGGATCCTCCTGCCGCAGCCTCCCAAGTAACTGAGATTACAGGCACACGCCCAACTAAATTTTTTTGTATTTTTCTTAGAGATGAGGTCCCACTGTGGTGCTCAGGCTGGTCTTGAATTCCTGGCCTCAAGCAATCCTCCTGCCTCAGCCTCTTGAGCAGCTGGTAGTACAGCCACTGGCCACCAAGCCCAGCTTTTTTTTTTTTTTTTAATTCATTTTTTAGAGATGAGGTCTTGCTGTGTTACCCAGGCTGGTCTCAAAGTTTTGGCCTTAAGTGATTGCTATTATGTTTTTTAAGTATTCATTTCCTCTCTTCCTGTCTTACAGTATAGCACTGTCCAGTGAAAATATAATGTAAGCCACATGTGTAATTTAAAGTTTTCTAAGGCTGAGTGTTGTAGCTGGTGCCTATAATTGTAGCACTTAGGGAGGTTGAGAAGTGAGGATTGCTTGAGCCCAGGAGACAAGCCTGGGCAACGTGGTGAGACCCAGTCTTTACAGAAAATTCAAAAATTTGCCAGACATGGTGGTGAGTGCCTGTAGTCCTAGCTACTCAGGAAGCTGAGGTAGAAGGATCACTTGAGCCCATGGGTTTGAGGATACAGTGAGCGATCATGCCACTGTATTCTAGCCTGGCAGTGACAGAGTGAGACCTTGTCTCTCTCTCTCTCTCTCTCTCTCTCTCTCTCTCTATATATATATATATATATATATATATATATATATACACACACACATATATAAAAATACATAAATACGTATATGTGTATATTGGCTGTTGTATTAATAACACAGTTGTAGGGCTGTAAGCCCAACTGAATTTGGTAGTGCTTATTGATAAACAATTCTTCTATGTGGTGATCGGTGAACCCTCTTAGAATTTTATGCTAAATTGTCAGTGTGCTCTAGAATCTCAAAAGCAGGGAAAGCCCCATACCTTACATCAGATCAGGGTACCCACTATCTGCTAAGTTGGGCATAGTTTCTTCAGCAGCTTTGATGTATCTTTATATTTTTTCCCATTATAGCCTATCTATGCTGTTTTTTTCTTAATGTCTGTCATCAAGATTACTGCTTATCATTTCTGAAACTTAAGTGATAATATAATAGTACTTATGGCCCATGGCATTTCTCTGTGGTGCTTGAGTCATTAGGATTTGCATGGTCAGTCTACCATATTATCAGGCTTTCCAAGAACATTTCTGAGAAAAATTAAGTACTGAGGTCTTTTTTTTTTTTCTCCCCATTGAGATTTTTTTAAAACCATAATTTCTTACTATGTTTCTTACTGTAGACTCATATAAATCTGTCCAAGGTCACACCAGCTACCAAGTGTTTGAGCTGGATTATAGGGTATGAAAAATATGAGACAGATTGTGGACCCTGTAGACCAGTATATCTCTTGCACCTATGTCTTTTTAAAATGATAAGAAATACTAAAAACAGAATACTGAAAAACAACAGTAAAAAGGAACACTTTCAGAGCACATGAGGTTGTAAACCAGAATAATAATGTTGTTGATTTCTAAGTATTCTTTACTCAATAATGTAAGTAATGTGTTCACTGAGTGAGCACAAATATATATAGAATTCACAGGTAAGATGTAATCTCCTGGATTTTAATATAGTTCTTTTGTTCATGGAGATATGTTAAGATACCCAATATTAACAATGTAAAATTTAAGAATTAAAAAAATTTACTTTGAAGACTGCAGACATATAGATTAATGCAGTGGTTCCCAAACTTGGCTGCAGGTGGCAATTACCTAGAGAGCTTGAAAGAAGCTCTCTAGGTAAGAAGAAGTTAAGATATGCTTATATCTTAACCTGGGGCTGTGACCTGGGCTTTGGGATTTTTTTTTTGACACAGAGTCTTGCTCTGTTGCCTGTGCTAGAGTGCCGTAGCGTCAGCCTAGCTCACAGCAACCTCAAACTCCGGGGCTCAAGTGATCCTCCTCCCTCAGCCTCCAGAGTAGCTGGGACTACAGGCGTGTGCCACCACACCTGACTAATTTTTTTCTATTTTTAGTTGCCTGGGTAATTTTTTTGATTTTTAGTAGAGACTTGCTCTTGCTCAGGCTGATCTCAAGTTCCTGACCTCAAGCAGTTCTTCGGCCTTGGTCTCCCAGATTGCTAGGATTACGGGCATGAGCCACCGCACCTGGCCTGGAAGTTTTAAAAGATAAAAGAAGTTTGAAAACTATTGAATTTGTGAAATAAAAATAATCTAGGGGCCGGGCGCTGTGGCTCACGCCTGTAATCCTAGCTCTTGGGAGGCCGAGGCGGGCGGATTGCTCAAGGTCAGGAGTTCAAAACCAGCCTGAGCAAGAGCGAGACCCCGTCTCTACTATAAATAGAAAGAAATTAATTGGCCAACTGATATATATATAAAAAATTAGCCGGGCATGGTGGCGCATGCCTGTAGTCCCAGCTACTCGGGAGGCTGAGGCAGAAGGATCACTCAAGCCCAGGAGTTTGAGGTTGCTGTGAGCTAGGCTGACGCCACGGCACTCACTCTAGCCTGGACAACAAAGTGAGACTCTGTCTCAAAAAAAAAAAATAAATAAATAAAAAAAAATAATCTAGGAATTAAGATGAGTAGGGTTTCTTTTATTGTTGTAAAATATATATAACATAAAATTTACAAATTTTCAGTGTATTGTTCAGTGGAATTAAGTACATTCATATTGTTTGCATCCATCACCACTGTGTATCTGCAGAGCTTTTTCATCATCCCAAACTGAAAATCTACTCATGAAACAATAATTCCTCATTTTTCTCTTCCCAGGTCCCTTGTAACCACCATTCTACTTCCTTCCTCTATGAATTTGCCATATAAGTGGAATCATACAATATTTGTCCTTTTGTGTCTGGCTTATTTCACTTAGTATAATGTCTTCAGGGTTCATTCATGTTGTAGCATGTGACAGGATTTGGCTTCTTTTTAAGGCTAAGTAATACTCCATTATATGATATACCATGTTTTGTTTATTCATTCATCAATGGACATGTGGGTTGTTTCCACCTTTTGGCTATTGTGAAAATGCTGCCATAAACATTGGAGTACAAATCTCTCTTCAGATCTATGCTCTCAGTTCTTTTGGGTGTATACCCACTAGTGGAATTGTTGTATTATATGGTAATTCTAAGTTTAAATTTTTGAAGACTTTCCATACTGTTTTCCAGTGGCTGCACTGTTTTCCATTCCCAACATCAATGCAGTAGAATTCCAATTTCTCCATATCCTCACCAACACTTGTTTCCTGTTTTTTAAGAAATAATGGCCATTTTTGTGGGTGTGAAATGGTATCGTATTATGTTCTTGATTTACATTTCCCTAATAATTAGTGATATTGAGCGTCTTATGTGTTTATTCACTGTTTGTATATCAATTTTGGGAAAATGTTCAGGTTCTTTGCCCATGTTTTAATTGGTTGTTAGGATGACTAGGATTTTAAGTCAACATTACTTTTAACTAGTTTTATGATTTTATGAGAAGCCATTTGACCTCTTTGTGCTTCAAATTTCCCACTAGCAAAATGGGATATCATTTTTCTGTAGCTTTCTAATACATATGCTAAAAATAAATTAGATATGACACCACCTAATGTAGTGTACGTATTGAAGTGTTGCTATTAGAACAACTTACTTTAATTTTAAGCATGTCTTTTCTGTCTTAGAAATAAATAATTTAATTTGAATATTTAATTGAGGAACATTTCTTTCTGCAACAGAAAATTGTTCAGGTTTCATTTGTAAAATTCTGCCCCATACCTTTTGTTTTGGATATTACACTATGAACTCCTAGAAAGCATTGGTATTCTCCTGGAAAGCATTGGCAATTCTTTTTTTTTTTTTTTTTAATATCATTGTATTTATTTCCCTACAAATAATTTTTCTACAGCTTCAACATTTTCTCCTCAAAATTAAAGGACAAAAAGAGTCCCAAAGTTTAGAACTGGATCACTTGGCCTTTTCTTTTCTTATCTCCTCCCAGTTCAAAATGCTTGCTTCTCTTAATGGCCAGCATCCTCTTGGATCTGTAGTTAGGCTCAACACATTCCAGCCTTAGCACAATCTTCTTTGTGGTTTTAGCCTTCTTCCGGAAAATTGGCTTTGTTTGCCCACCGTAGCCACTCTGCTTCCGATCATAGCGCCTCTTTCCCTGGGCATACAGGGAATCCTTGCCCTTCTTATACTGGGTCACTTTGTGAGGTTGATGCTTGCCACACTTCTTACAGGAAGTTCTTCGAGTTTTAGGTACATTGACCATGTTTACTGTAGAGCCGTCTGTCTATTCAATGAAATCGGGAAAGTTGGCGTCCGCAACCCTTGCCTCCCGCCGCTCGCGCCGGCATTGGCAATTCTTAATAATACCTTGGGCTATCATTGTAGTTACATGTATTTGTTTTAACTCTACTTTTTTAAGTGATAATTACAAAAATTGTTTAAGATGATGTTATTAATGATAACATTTCTCCTTGAAAGAAAAGCCATTCTGAATTTAGTATGCCCATATTTCTTAACATTCTCTTTGTATTATAATATTCTCTGACTTGGGAGGCTGAGGTTGGAGGATCACTTGAGCAGAAGAGTTTGAGGTTTTATAACACTACAATTGTGTGCCTGGGAACAGCAACTGCGTTGCAGCCTGGGTAACATAGTGAGGCCCTGTCTTTTTTTTTTTTTTTTTTTTTTTTTTTTAATATCATTGTATTTAAGAAGTTAAGATATGCTTATATCTTAACCTGGGGCTGTGACCTGGGCTTTGGGATTTTTTTTTTGACACAGAGTCTTGCTCTGTTGCCTGTGCTAAAAGACAGGGCCTCACTATGTTACCCAGGCTGCAACGCAGTTGCTGTTCCCAGGCACACAATTGTAGTGTTATAAAACCTCAAACTCTTCTGCTCAAGTGATCCTCCAACCTCAGCCTCCCAAGTCAGAGAATATTATAATACAAAGAGAATGTTAAGAAATATGGGCATACTAAATTCAGAATGGCTTTTCTTTCAAGGAGAAATGTTATCATTAATAACATCATCTTAAACAATTTTTGTAATTATCACTTAAAAAAGTAGAGTTAAAACAAATACATGTAACTACAATGATAGCCCAAGGTATTATTAAGAATTGCCAATGCCGGCGGAGTGGCGGGAGGCAAGGGTTGCGGACGCCAACTTTCCCGATTTCATTGAATAGACAGACGGCTCTACAGTAAACATGGTCAATGTACCTAAAACTCGAAGAACTTCCTGTAAGAAGTGTGGCAAGCATCAACCTCACAAAAGTGAACCAGTATAAGAAGGGCAAGGATTCCTGTATGCCCAGGGAAAGAGGCGCTATGATCGGAAGCAGAGTGGCTACGGTGGGCAAACAAAGCCAATTTTCCGGAAGAAGGCTAAAACCACAAAGAAGATTGTGCTAAGGCTGGAATGTGTTGAGCCTAACTGCAGATCCAAGAGGATATCTTT